CGATAACGAGCACGCAACGTCGAGCTCAAGAGGGTCGACCGCCACGCGAAGGTCGATCAAAGCAAAAGAGACGGGGACGCACGCTCAAGACCGAGCTTCTCAAGGATGGACACGGAGTAGACATATGGGCCTGGGCTTAGCGAAAGTAATCCGGTCGAGCCCGAGAGTTGTCAGTGAAGGACGCGCATGGAGGTGCGCGAGGGCACGTGAGAAGATGGTCCATAGGCGGGCGTCATTTAGGTGCAAGAAAGGGCGCGAACACACGCGACGGCCTAGACGTGCATGGACGAGACCACGCCTCAGACGGATGCGCCATCGGAGGTTTCGGGATGCACATCGAAGGAGTGAAACCTGGTGGGCATGGCCAAAGCGTCAAGTGGCTCGAAGGAATGGAAGGCACGCTAGTCGGGTGCACAACACACGCGGCACGCGCGCATGGACGCGCGGACAGCGCGCAGGCGCACAGTGGTGCGCGGGGCCACGCGCAGACGGGCCGCGCGGCGCGGGCGCAGGGCTGCCAGGGACAGCACGCGAGGGTGACTTGACGGGCAAGAAACCAAGTCTTCTAGAGACCTTTTGGAGCTGAATCTTCTCTAGATTATTCTTGATACTTCCCCACATGTTTTAATAGCTTTCCTTAGCATGTTAGGACTTTGGTTTAAATTAGGATATTAGATATTTAGTTGCCTTAGGATTTACTTATTTACTTGAATTAGGAGTTCTATTTAGACTAGGATTAGATCTATTTGGTATCTATAAGTACCCACCTATGTACCATTCGAAAATATGTTGATGTGGATGAGTGAACAGAAAAGAGTCGAACATTGTGTTCAAAGTTCTCGTGTGTTTTCTCCTGTGAGTTTACATAGAGTTCGTGAATGGAATAGGACCAACATCCGAGTTTCTTCACAGTGATAGAAATAGGACCAACATCCGAGTTTTGTCACATTTATCGCGAAGTACGAAGGCGTCGGCGCGCGTATTAGCAACCTATCGCAAAGGAACCAAGGCGTCGGCGCGGGTTTGGAGCAAGTCGAGCTAGACGTAACACACGATCCTTCATCACGCGGGCGGCGCGACACCAGCACTTCTTCCCGGCGCGAAACCCCTCCGCGGCGCGGCACGGACTTTTCTCACGCCGCGGCACATCCCGTGGCGTCCATCACTTGCGAACAGAGACGCCCCAGGCCTTCCCCTCCACGCCGTGGCATAGCACCACGCTGCGGTGCACAGCTCTCTCGCGCCGCGGCACATGTTCTCCACGTCGTGAGTTGAATCCAAGTTACAATCAAACTTACAATCAATCTAATTCGAAGAGTTATAACAATTTTCATGCTTATGTGAGTTAATTTGATTAGGAATTGATGAAATTATGCTTGATAGTTTGATGTAATCGAAGGGCGACACTTCAATCTTGCAATTGGTAACAATTGGATATTGAGTTGTCGAGTTTGATTTTGTTGATTCTCGATAATTAGTTGATTAAACACCTTCTAATTGAATTAGCAGCTTTTAGAACCGAAAGGGTAGAAGTCGTAGACCTAGGCTCGCATGAGGTAGATAATTTCGTAATTGAATAGTCTATAGGTTTTGGATTGAAATACGTGCTTGTCTATGACCCGTCCCTTGTTACGAAAAGTTATTGGGATTGGATAATTGACCTGTATTGTATGCTCAAGCTTATTCGTCTATGTTCAATCCCTTGTTACGAAGAGTTATTGGAAGCGAACCGCTAGATGTTTAAGCGAGAGTGTCAATCTGGAATAGAACAATTAATTGTCCGATTTTGCTCAAAACTTGAATAAATTATCCCCGACTCCCTAGCTGCTTCTTCATCTTTATTTGTTTATATTTTTAGGTATATTATTGTTTTATTTTATTTCTTAGTTAATAATTTATTCAAACCCCTTATCTGGTTAGAGTGTTTAGGATTTATTTTCTTTTTGTGTATTATCAATATCAAAGCTGAATTCCGAACCGCCTTCCTCGAGAGATCGACCCGGGAAACGAATCCTTCATTCGGTACTCGGTAAAATATAACAATTTGTACATAACGACGTACGAAGAATAAAAACTGATATGATGAAGAGCTTTATGGGACTGGACGGTTTCTTTTATTTCTTAATGAATCTCAAGGGTTCCTTTGTATTTATCACGGCTTTTGGGGACTGCATCCATTAATAATTTTGACCCAAATTATTTAATAATTAGGTCATTGAGTTTAATATTATTATTTGTTACGTCACCAAATAATAATATTACCGGGTGTCCACATTTAACCATTCCACAATCTAAATTAAGTTTCTTAGCCAATATGCAATAATTTGTTCACTTAATTTGGTTAAACAATATAATGACCCAGTGTATCAATTACATATGTTTAATCCCAAAATAGATCTAACACTCCCAGCTATACTAGTACTAATCCCTAAGCAAAAAAAGTATTTGTAAAAAGAAAAACAAACTCAGTTCTTCAATGGTGTAAGAACAGTGAAAAACTATACATAATAATACTCGAAAATTCATAAACTCACAAACACTTAAAAAAGTCTTCAAACATGATAAACTCCGATAATTGCACCAACGTTCAATTGAGTCATTATGTAGGCTTATATACAATCTTCTCAAGGTAAGGAGTCTTTAACCATCTTTCCTCTTGGAGCTGATTTCCTTCCTTCTTTAATACTTAAGACATGGTCGAGATCTTCATAAGTGAAGGTCGATATCTTTATGTGTGGTCTTCCTTGATCACCTTCTTCTTTTCCTTAAATGTGAGATCTCCTACAAATAAACGAAAACAAATATTATGGTAAAAACAACTCCATATACGTAAAGCCTATTAGATGCTAATATATACTTATCATACTTAACAAGACAAGATTTTATTAGACTTAATTAAATTGGAGAGAGAATAGAGCTTCCCTTTTTATTTTTCCTACTTATTAGAACAGTAAGATATTATTTTGGAACTTGTTGTGAAAATAAATCTTACATATATGTATGACTCTCTCTGATTCTCTGATTTTCATTGTATGGTTGATTCGTGATTATAACTATGTGTTTGATATTTATAAAACTCTATGTGACTGCTATGGAGGCAGTAGTAGCGCATGCATTTGACTCAGGACATGTGGAAGCGTCAATTCATGTTCCTTCAAGTAAAATTGCATATTAATACACCATATTTCATGTTTTTGAAATTTAATCACCACTTTTGAAATTTTGCAAATTAATACACCACCTTTAACATTTTTTCAAATTCATACATGAATGACGGTTCTGTTAATAAAAATCTGACGGTACCATGAATTCATGTATCGATTTGCAAAAGTGTTAAATGTGGTGTATTAATTTGCAAAATTTCAATAGTAATGACTCAATTTAAAAAACATGAAAAGTGGTACGTTAATATGTAACTAGTGTGTGGCCCGTACGATGCACGGGAAAACAATATTACGATTTTATTAGAAATTAAATATATAAATAACATTAATCATGATTTATCCGTTGTTTTTAAATTAAACCAGGTTGGACACAATCCGACCGGATGGACCGAGAACCGATTTATAATTAGTCTAGTTCGCTTGAATAAAATATTTGCTCTCGAACCCGTCAACACCAGTCGGTTGTACTGGTAAGATCGATAGGATTTTCTAAATAAATTTTGTTATATTTTAAATTATTTTAAATAAAATTACATATTTAAATAAAATAGAGATTTATAAATTATTTATCAATTAGTTTAACATTTGAATTTATAAATTGTTTAGATATCTAAGTAACACATTTTATTTAAATTTATTACAAAAAGTACTATATATATATATATATTAAAATTTTTATAAATTAAATTCTGATCAAACCACAAATGATTTAATAGAATAGCTTGATCGTTTCGATGACGGTCCAGTTCTGAAAGCCTTATATTTATTGTACATTAATAAATATTATAATAAGATATTATGTAATTCACATAAATATTAATAAAATGATATATAAATATTCATAAATCATTAAATATGTTGTCATAAAAGTATTGTTACTACGATTATTTGAAGTTTGGACTACATCACATTCACGTAATAAAATATTTTTAATATAAAATTTATATTTAGGTATAATAATCGATTTGGTGTGGTCGAACGGATACATAACTTAGTCACCTGGGATCAACCAAGAGGTGTCAAGTTTTTTGACTATTTTAAATATCACCTAAAAGTAATTCAATCAACTTAGCAGTACCCTAATTAAATCACCTGCTTGATCCGAAGAAATTTCTTATTTTCTTTAAATGTATTTAATTTTATGAAATAAAAATATTTTATGATTCATATAATAAATGTCTACACCAAATGATAGTATATTAATATTATAAATTATATATCTGAAGATGAATTAATTATTTTTACTTTATGTACATTAATAAGAAATAAACATACAATTTTGAAAAAATTAAGATTAATTGAGTGATTATACAATTTAAAGAATATTTTTAGCGTTCAATATTTTTTTAAAGGCATAAATATAAAACCGAGATTCTAAAGCTTTTGTTATATTTTGAATTAAGATTTTATAAATATAGAAACTGAGATTTTAATGTTGTTCGTTGTTTCTAAGAAAAAAATAAAAATAAAAACATATATACTTAATAAATCTTAGCCGTTTTTATATAATAAAATGAACTAAAATCCGAAATTTAAGGTAGCATTTAATGCTGTATGATTTTTAAAAAAAAAAAAGAAAAATAATAAAACTTACTATTTATAGGCTGCATTAAATTCTGACCTAATTTTTTGTTCCTATTTTTGGTAAATATTAATTCTTATTATATATATATATATATATATATAGATTTTGCCAATATATAATATGGGGGTAAAAGAAGTATTAAAACCGAATGGAGTTTGACGGAAACTCGATTCCACAGTCAAGTCAACGGTTCAAACCGCGTACTGTATATATATCATTAACATATGAAATTTCCAAGAATGAGACTCATTGATTAATATAAATAAATCTCTCAATCCACATCTCTTAATACATTTATACATCGAGCTCAAGATAATAGAGGCTATCCACCCACAAACAGGGCCACCCAACATAACACACAAAGAACTTCTTCTTCTTTTTTTCATTAATCGAAATTTCAATTAATTGGCATGTACTCCTCGAACTTCTCCGATGCGGCCAAATCCCCGCCGTCGGCACCGGCTACCGGTATTCCGGTGGGCGCGTCCTCGGAGTTTTATTCGAATGAGTCCCGGCCTTATATTCAAGCCAAGCCTCAGGTCCCTTGGTCCACGGGGCTCTGTGATTGCGGTTCCGATGTCCGCAACTGTAAGTTTCTAATTTTTTTTGTATTATGGTCAAAATCTTTTGTGCTACGGCGGCGCGTTGGTAGCACGCGTTGACTATGTTTTTGATTTGGAGTTCAATTATATCAGGTTGTGTTACGTTTTGGTGCCCGTGTATTACTTTTGGGCAGGTCGCTGAGATAGTTGACAAAGGATCAAGCTGTGAGTCCCCTTTTCTACTACTCTTAATTAATTTACCCTTATAAATATGAGTTGATTTATTAGGCTTCCCCATTAGTATTACCTCATATTAATGTGTCATTAAACTGTTAATACATGGTTGGTCGATTGGATTGAATATTATTATCGGTTTTTCTATGAAGCCAACAGTTGGCTTCATAGTGGAGCCAACCTTCTATGTACAACAAGTAAACCTACCATATTAATAAAATTATATTAGTGTTATTTAAGTAATCAGAGTTGACTCCACTATAGAGCTAAATGTTGGCTTCATAGCAAAATTGATATTATTGTATTGGATGTCATCAATAATGGGCCATATTTCCATATTTTAGCGTGTGATTTGAAAAATTTGTTAGAAGGCAGGTAGACGTGGAATTAGAAAAAGAAATAAATAAGGGCATTTGAGTTGAATTAATTAATGGGGGACATAATTTTTTTTTAATTTGGGGGGCAGCGTGCGGGCAGAGTGGTGCATTATACGCGCTGCTGATGTGCGTGACGGGGTGCGCTTGTTGCTTATCGTGCTTCTATCGGTCTAAAATGAGGCAACAATATTTGCTGCACGAGTCTCCCTGTGGGGACTGTTTGGTTCATTGCTTTTGTGAGTCGTGCGCCCTTTGCCAGGAGTATCGCGAGCTTAAGAATCGAGGCTTTGACATGACCATAGGTAACAAACAAACAAACACCATTTTCTTATTTCACTCTAAATCAGTCTTTACTTTTGTTATTCTTATTAAGATATGAGTCATAGTATTTGTCGCAATTAGACATTAGGCCATAACTAATTGTTAGATGTATATGGCTTGTAATAAATGTTTCGTAGTTTTATTAATCATAGAATGTCATGCATTGTAAATTACAGATTTTACTATATAGAAAAGCATGACACGTATGTAATTTGGTCCTATGTGTTAGTGGATAACTTTTATTATTAAATTATTGTAATGAGGTGGGAAAAAGGTAAGTAAAATGAGTTAATAAAATATTTTTTTAAAAGCATATCAAAGTGGTAGAATTGTCCACAAATAAAATTGGAAATTTTCTATATAGAGTCTCGTCTTAATGTCGAGTGTGACACTACTGAATCATTCAAACAGAGCGTCTTCAAAGCGCCAGATTAAATATGTCATTGTGATTGATTGGTGGTTTTTGATGTGGTGAACGTTAATTTGAATTTTGGTGTGGTTAATTTGTAGGATGGCACGGCAATGTGGAGAGACAGAATCGTGGGGTCGTTATGGCTCCGATCTCTGAATCTGGCATGAGTAGATAAGTACCATTTGAAAGAAAATGAGAAATGCTTGTTGTATACATAAACTTAAATTAAAATAAATAAATGGAGTCCAGATTGTATTGTATGTACACTATTCTGTACAAAATATTATGTAGATCTAGCATTACCCAAGGAAATTAATGGAAACCATTCTTATTATGTGAATTTGAATTTGTGGTNTTTTCCAAATGATAGAAGATCTCATAACAAAATAAATTGTTCATACAAACGGGATACAATGAGAGAACCAGAACATGCTCTGGTCTAGACAACAACACATCAAATGCACTGAAGGCAGCCACACGAGCTGAAATCCAATAGATACAACATCACCACACAAAACAAAAACTGAAAAAACCTACACAAACATAGCAACATCACAAAGGAAAGCATAACAAATCCATAGCCACTATCCTCAGACCTAGCATAGAACCTGTCAGCCCTTCAGTCACCCAGCTTCTCTGCAGCTTACAAAGTCCATCCAATCCCTAACTGTCATCTTCACAATCATCCTCTCCGGTTTTTACAAGTTTTCAAACATCCAGAGATTTCTAGCTTTCCACAGCCACCAAAGGATGTATGTGGAAAGCTGGATTCTCTTCTCAGCCACATCAGTGTGATTCAGTGTACTAATCCGCCACCACCACTCTTTAAACTCTCCTTCTCTTCCAGGTAAGTCTGCCCATTGCACAAGAGACAACTTCCACACATCTGAGCCCTTCTGCATTGGAATAGAATATGTTGCACTGTTTCTGTTGCCTCACCACACCCTCTGCATCTAACATCAATGTCCATTCCTTTTTTTTTTTTAATATTGGCCAAGGTTGGTAATGCATTTGTAAATGCTCTCCAGATGAAATGCTTGACCTTCCCCTGTACTTTCAAGTTCCAGCATCTCCTCCTGGCCTCCTTGCTCCTCTGAGCAGCCCTACTACTTTCAGCTCTATCCATCATCAAAGCTTTCTCCACCATCAGCTTAGCATAAGTTGCTGCGACAGTATGCCTCCCTTTTGTGTCAAAGTTCCACCTCTACTTATCTTCAGCCTCTGGGTTAAGGGTGTTGATTTGCAATACTTGTCTACTTTCAGCTTCTTCAAAGTACCCCCTCACCAACCTCTCATCCCAATTCCTCCCACCATTTGCCATTAGATCAGCCACCCAGACATCTGTTCCCACAGCTCCCTGTTTGATTTTAGTTGGACCATTCACTACCCAGTTCCAGTCTTTGAGTTTGGTTGACCTGCCATTTCTGATTTCTACCTTCAAACCTTGCTGCAATACTAGTAGGACACCCAGCCAACAGTTCCAAAGCCATGATGAGTTGGGTTTCAACTTTGTGTATTTATATTGTTTGTTAAAAAAATCTATCACTATCAAAGAGAAATGATGGGATGTATACTCTTTATGTGACTGTATAGCTGCCCACTGTGTGTATTTATATTGTTTGTTAAAAAATATGTATTTAGTGTAAGATTTAGTGAAAGGTTTTTTTTTTTTTTAAATTTTAAACGATGGGATTTATAGCTAAAAAATAGAACAATGTACAAAAACGAATGTTAACTAGCCTTAAGGACAACCACAGAGTTGAGGGAGAACACTACAAATTAGTGTCCTAAACAACTACCAAATTGCTCAAGGAGCCTTCATGCCTAAGAAAATCACCAAGGACATGATCTCGGGCTAGAAGTACCTCTCGCAACAAAAATGATAAAAATCACTGGTCAAGGACCCTAGCTTAAACCCTCAAAAGAAGCCTAAACAAGCACACTGATTGTACAGAACCGAAATAGAAAAACCAAAAACCAGCTACAACAAACAACAACTAAAAACTAAGAAAAGAGACAGAACTAAACTCTATCAAACTCGAGCCATTCCTCCAAATCCATCTTAACCACTGTTGTTTCTGGCCTCCAAGAATGTTGTAAAACCCACAAATTTCTAGTTTTCCAGATCCACCACAGTAAATATGAAAAGAAATGCATTTTGTCATATGTGACCTTGGAGGGTGGGATGTTGCAGATCTTAATCCACCAATGATTGAAGTTGTTTGTGACCAGTCCTGGACTATCCCAAGAGAGGGGAGCAAAATTCCAAATCATTTGAGCTTTGAAGCAAGTAAAGAAAAGATGCTCGGTTGTTTCAATGGCCTCACCACAAGCTGGGCAGAGAGGATCCAGCTTCACTCCTTTTTTAGAAAGGTTTGCATTGACAGGTAGAGCATTGTTCAGGCATATCCAGATGAACTGTTTAATTTTCCTTTTAATTTTCAGCTTCTGGAGTTTCTTTCTTGCCACCCTTACTTCATCATGCCCTTTGCTAAACAAAAACCCAACTCTCCCTCATCAAACTCGAGCCATCCCTAAACAATGTCAAATTTTCAAACAAAAACCCAACTCTCCCTCATCCTCCCTCAGCCGCACAACACTTATCACAGCCACTCGGCGGCCTCCACAAATGGCGGCGGCACAGCCTTCTCCCGGCCGGTGGTCGCGCCTGACGCAGTGCCTCCCTAGACGCCGTTGAAATGGGAGCTTCTCCTTGAAAATTCCATGGCTTGTTCTGGCGGGGCTGCCGGTGAGACTAGCGAAGTGAACGGCCAGGTGCGGCTTCACGGTGCTGTCAAAGGCGGCAGAAGGGATGACGTAAGTGCACAGCGGCAGGAAGAACGGAGCGTGCAGAGGCGCACTGTCGAGGTGTCGTCGGCGACAGCAGAATGGGGGGATGGCTGCTGACGGGAAGGGCCGCTGCTGTGGGAGGTGGTGTGCGTGTGTGTGTGTGTGTGTATTTGTGCGGGAAGAATGGCGTGTGGTGTGTGTGTATTTGTGCGGCAAGAATGGCGTGTGGTGTGTGTGCATGAGCGTGTGTTTTGTGCATGTGTGCGTGTGTTTTGTAATTATTATTATTATTTTTATTTTTTTTTATTCCAGCATGCGTGTGTTGTGTCGGGTATGTGATAAGGAGAATGGTGACGTGGTGGGCTGATTTGGCGTGGATCCCAGTTGGTTAGTTGAATGAGTAATAGTAATGTTCATAATACCCTTAATGAGCGTATAATTGTGGCTTTTTTTAGCCATTAGATCATCCGATCTAATGGCTAAGATTTATTCCCATTTCTTTTGCTAAGCACCATTCTCACCGGAGCGCGAACTTATATATATATATATATATATATATATATATATATATATAGAGAGAGAGAGAGAGAGAGAGAGAGAGAGAGAGAGAGTTGGGATCATATGAGAATGGTAGATAATGAAAAAAATGAGAATGGATCTGTACCATTGGATCCTACATATTAATGGTTATGATCAGGTCAAAATTTAAATATTCTAGTCAAACTTGTTATGGCAATTTTGTAATTAAATATGTGATTCATGGTCAAATGTACATATTTGACAAATAATTAAGGGCAATCTGGACAATACATATTTACAACACATGGAAGTGGGCCCCACACACACAAATATCAATACCCACTCTCTCCCTCTCTCTCTCTCCCCTTTCTCTCTCATGTCTCTCTATCCGTCTCTCCATCATCGGTCGCATTCATCTCTCCCTCGCACCAGTGCACAAGTCACACGGCGGTGTTTCTGGCGGAGCACACACTCCACGGCAGCAGAACGGCTTCGGTACACCGTCGACGTCATCATCTCCTTGGCGTCACGACCTCCGCCGCAGAGCCCAGCGCCGCCGGCGAACTAGTTTTCCGGCGATTTCTTCCTCCTTCGGCCGTCGTCACCAACGTCCGCCTGTGACTCGCCATCGCAGTCGCCAGCACGCCCATTTTGTTCTCCTTCGCCTCTCAACTCTGCAAATTGAATTGACATTTGAGTAAAAAAAAATAAAACAAAATCGAGCACCATAGTAATTCATATTTCATTATTCAACTAAATGTTTGTGCTCGATTTCAGCCTCCGTCGCTGGGATGGATTAAAGGTCATCAACACGTTTTCGGCGGCCATCTACATAGGCAGGGAGCGGACTGTACGTGCGTGGTGTGTGAGGGGATGAGATTGGGGGGCATGATTTTGGAAATTGGATATGTTTTAGGGCCTTATTTGCAAATTAAGAAATTTGATTATATTTTAATTGAGTTGATATGTTCAATTTGTAATTAATAACAATTTAAAAGTACACAATATTAATAATAAGATTGCACACTAATAAAATATTAATAAGTTAACCAAAGATCGAACTTTTATCACAAATCAAAACATAACCGAAATATTCAAATTAATAATAATAATATATTATTATTATTATTGTTATTATTATTATTATTATTTACATAATTTAGTCAGTCCGTTATTTTGACTATTTTAAAGAATAAAGCCGACATCGTATATAAACAAATAAATTTTAAAAGTAAAAATAGATAATCGAATCAAAATATGAAAATTCAAACCAAACAACAATATTTTGGTCTATTTCGGTTGTTGTGCAATCCGACAATCAATAATGTGCAATTCGGCCAACAATATTGTGCACGGTTTCTGTAGTTCTTGTGTAATTTGAACTATCCGAACTTATTGTAAGATATGTTGTAAAAGCTTGGCTTTCAGATATGAACAATTCCATTTTGATTTGACAATCATGTTTTAGTCAAAGTACATATGCTTGCAGTTTATTTATTTATGCAATCATACTCCTTGTCTTACATTGAGATAGTATGGTTCGTGGTGTCTCGAATAGAAAGATCACCTATCGATTCCTTGTAAGACTAAATTATTCGTTCATAATCTAGACAAGCAGTGAGACTCTCTTGGAAAAAGACTGTAGTGTATTCTTGATTCAATTTATCTTTGACTGGAGAATTACACTAGTACTTATGATAAGTATTGAACAGGATGGCGGAAGGATAAGATTATGAGACTCACTGATCGTTGTTGTAATCTAGACCTTCGGTTATTGATGTGTTCTCTAAAGCTGTAAGATAATATAAAACATGCATGTATATTCATTACTTATTTATTTGATTTACCAAGGGTAATTCCTATTCTGTTAGGATGACATACTCGGTACTTTGGTGTAACGCCCCCACTTTGATTTTAAAGAAATTCTGGACTTTCCAAAAATCACAGTAAGATTTTCGAAATTCATTTTTCGATTCATTAACATTTCGGCATTACTAATTCAATTCAAAACATAGTTCAAGTCGTGTCTGAACTAGCGGGGATTCATAAGCCCTGTTTTCATAAGGTTTTCATTAACCCGATTTTTAACATAACTCACAAGATATTCAACGTGAATAACCAAAACACATTCAATAAATCACGTGCCATGAATATCTAAAATCATCAATCCCAGAAACATGTAACGATAAACAATTTTAACATGTTTCATAATTCCTTAGTTCATAAAAAATAGAAAAATAAAATAAAAAAAATTACGGAAGCGAAATAAATAACTTATGACCACCCACTCGCCTTTTTCCGCGTCATGCCCGGCACTTGTTTAATCTGCATCCATGAAGAGCAGGTTAGAGTGAGCACAGTTGGAAAATATAGTGCTTACCACTATGCATATGAACAATATTATAATGGTATGGTCGCAGTATGAACATAAACAATAACAACATGTCTCATCTCCTAGTCAATATGACAATGACTCACTCATGTGCACATCTAGGCTTAGCCGTGGGAAGGGGATTCATAACCCTATCTTACAGAGACTTGCCTCGTAAGGGCAACCGTATTACATCGATGGGGACAACCGTACCGACGGCTGTAACAGCTCACATCAAAAGGCTACATGTTCACATGCATACATAGATCATACCAATTTCAACACAATTAAAACACACATGCATAGACATTTTATAATAACTAACCCACCTGGTATTTCAGATTGACAAGAGCACAATAAGAAGTGACGTAGGTCGAGGCTTGACTCCTCAAACACCTACATTAAGTCAAGATACTACAATCAACACCTATCTTGACCTTAGAAGGAAAACTACAATCAACACCTATCTTGACCTTAGAAGGAAAACACAATCATACTTAGTCGAACTTGATTCAACTAAGTTGTTCGTGGAGTCCTGTGGACATTGGAACACTTGGACTTAGCACTTAGACTCGACCAAACCAATCATGGGAGTACACATAAATTCACTTGAAGGATATTCAAAACATGTAGCATGGGGTAACATCTAAACAAGATTACCTAAAATATTTAGACTTAATCATAATAAGCTAAAACAATATTTAATGAACATATCACCTATTCTAGTTGATCAAGCAAATGGACGAGTTAGCTTCTGAAATTTTAACACAAAACTCAACTTACTGAACACAACAATACTACCAAGTTTCAGCCCTTAACTCAAAATATCCAATTTTATAAAATTCAAAGAAGTTTTCAGCAACAACGAACATGAATTCATAGCCTGACCTAGTGAACTATTTAACACTTGAAATTTTTACCTAAGCAACTTCAGCATGTAAATATCAACATATAAAATATCCAGCTCTAAACATCAAACACACAATTTATAAGAATTGTAGCAAGATTCTGCAGAGTTCGAATTTTTAACAACATTGTTCCAAAATGAACTTGATAAATCCTAGGAATTTATCCTCACGTAAATCATCATTAAACGAGAACATAAACTAAAATTCAGAAATTTACAGCAACAGGTCGATTTTTCATAAATTAGTTCAACAGAAAGCTACAATTAATTATTTATCCTAGAAAATGAAGTCCAAAAATTATGAACTTTTTACACAACATCCACAAATGACAGAGAGAAAACATATTCAAATTTCAGCCATTTTAGTTCACAACTCGATTTTATATGCAATTTACACAATTCTGCCTAGAAATCAAAATAATTAATTAAAATAGCTACAGATGGAATTTAAACTTGAAATTTTTACACAACATGTATAATCATCAGTGGATATCGCAATCAAAATTTCACATCATTCAAAGCAGCATGCGATCAGGCTCTTCAAGAGTGGACCAGACGAATGAGCTCTGCGAGACCGACCCCTAACGTATAGGAGAGGACGGGGACATGTATTTGAGATTAGAAAGCAGTGCTTGAGGATAGAGGAAAGATCCTCTTTTTATCTTCAGTTTCAAGTTGCGGTCAGTTAAGCAAAAATGACAAAATTGGAATAAGCGCACACGTTTGGAAATGACCGCATCACGTCTTTAGAATCTTTTATCTTGAATTTAACAAGTATACAACGACTATTCTAGTCCGATAAGTCATGGTCGGCACATAACTTATTTATTTCGTCCGAGGCCTTAACCATTAAGGCCAAGGACTTCCAAACGTTCCATATCCACAACATTCACACGACCAATATTATGATCTCTTTCGATTTCACACGAATCGATGGATCTCGACATAAAATAAACAAAACGGATACTAAACTCCAACATGAACAGTTCATTGAAGCATAAACACATTACGAAAATAATCGAAAGAGGGATCGAGCCTTTGTACCGTTCTCGAGAAGCGATACGTAAGGAATGGTCGAACGAGGGTTGATGGCACATCGAAGGCGGCTCGCGGCGGCGCTCGGCGGCTCACGCGCGACTCGCGGTGGAGCAGCGGCTCGAGGACAACGGAAAATGGGGCTTGCGCAGTTGAAGACGGCGGCTCGTGGAGGAGCTGTGTGGCGTTCGGCTTGCCGCTGGGGTGCTCCGATGGACGAGCAGTGAAGGGACCTGGTGAACAGAGATCGCCGGAGGAGGGGCAGCAGCATACGGTGCTTTCTTGCCGAGGCGCTGCGCGGACAGGGGCTCACCGGAAGAGGTCGCGACGAGAGTTTGCGGAGGAGAATATCGCGAGGGAGGACGATGCAGCGATGGTGAAGGGCGATCGGAGTTGCAGAGAAGAGGG